TGCAGCGCTGGTGTTTTTATTTGAATGTATCTTTGAAAAGAACCGACCGTCTTCAGAAAAGCTTCGATGTAATTTTCATTTCGTCTTTCCTGTAATGCCTGATAAAGTAGCGTTTGTGAGCGCAGTGCTTGTTAGATTACAGCCGTTACTGGGGAAACCGCTATATCTTCCGCTCCAACAGCGCCTCCTGCTGGCAGAGAATGAATCTGCATTTGCAAGTCTGTGGGAAACACTGGAGTCTGTCAGCAAACATAAACAAAAAGCACGCTTCAGAACTGTTTTGAGAAGGTGCTTAAGTTTTGAGCCATGTATTATTACTCTGAATTAGGCTACTACTACTATTACTATCTTGTACCCTGCAATAATCATTTACTCAAACTCACTTTTATCGGTCGACCTCTAATTTGGATACATGTTTAGATATTATCAGTGGCTACTTTTTGTCTTTATCTGTTTTTTGTTCAGTTGTTTTGTCAGTTATTGCATTATTTCAGTCAAATATAAAACCCTTTGTTACCTCAAACTACATATAAAAGCCTGATAAGTGGCCTGATAAGTGGCATAAAAGTAATCAGAATGCAGCTACTTGTTCCTTTTACTCATTGATGCGTGAACTTCCCCTTTAAATAACGCGACACTCTGCCCTCTATGTGTATGACGCTGCTCCCATTAAGCGCTGTTGGAAGCAAATTAATTGATTCAGCATTTCGACACTTCCATAAGGATGCGTTAAATTCGACAAAGCGGTTTAATAAAGGATGATCTTGTGAATTAGGACATTTTACAACACCAATATTTTTTAATTGGTTGTTAAATTTTGTTGGGAATATTACACAACATGCTGATCCTTTGACAATGCATTGGCACAAAAACGCACACATTTGATACCGATTTCTGATTTCTCGACTGCCACAAATACTGCCTAAACAAAATACAGATTTTGTGCACTTTTTATTGTACCAATATTTTAAATTGGCCTTTGAACTTGGCTTTATTGCATGGCAAAAAAAAGCTTTACCTTGCCAAAGCACTGACAGAACCCATTGATCTAATGATGTTGTTGAGCGCTCCAAATGCAAACTTTGCATGCAACAATCAGGCAGTAATTGACAGCACTCTGATCCAATGGCATACAGGCATCGTCAGAATGACAGTACTCTAGCCCAATGATGTTGGGGATCCACTGGGGGCGGCAATCATATTTCAGCATGGCCATGCCACTCTTTATCACAACCCTGCTAAAATGTAGCGCCAGTACGTGCACTCATTGGCGCCCCCTCCAGGTGGT